GGTAACAGTTATTAACACTAGTATGTGATTGGTAACAGTTGTTGACACGAGTATGTGACGGGTAACAGTTATTGACACTAGTATGTGACGGGTAACAGTTGTTGACACTAGTATGTGATTGGTAACAGTTGTTGACACTAGTATGTGACTGGTATGTGATTGGTAACAGTTGTTGACACTAGTATGTGACGGGTAACAGTTATTAACACTAGTATGTGATTGGTAACAGTTGTTAACACGAGTATGTGACGGGTAACAGTTGTTAACACTAGTATGTGATTGGTAACAGTTGTTGACACTAGTATGTGATTGGTAACAGTTTTTGACACTAGTATGTGATTGGTTACAGTTGTTGACACTAGTATGTGATTGGTAACAGTTGTTGACACTAGTATGTGATTGGTTACAGTTGTTGACACTAGTATGTGATTGGTAACAGTTGTTGACACTAGTATGTGATTGGTTACAGTTGTTGACACTTGTATGTGACGGGTAACAGTTGTTGACACTAGTATGTGATTGGTTACAGTTTTTGACACTAGTATGTGACGGGTAACAGTTATTAACACGAGTATGTGACGGGTAACAGTTATTAACACTAGTATGTGACGGGTAACAGTTGTTGACACTAGTATGTGATTGGTAACAGTTATTGACACTAGTATGTGACGGGTAACAGTTATTGACACTAGTATGTGATTGATTACAGTTGTTGACACTAGAATGTGATTGGTTACAGTTGTTGACACTTGTATGTGATTGGTAACAGTTGTTAACACTAGTATGGGGGGGGTAACAGCTATTAACACTAGTATAACACTAGTATGTGATTGGTAACAGTTGTTAACACTAGTATGTGACGGGTAACAGCTATTAACACTAGTATGTGATTGGTAACAGTAATTGACACTAGTATGTTATTGGTTACAGTTGTTGACACTCGTATGTGACGGGTAACAGTTGTTGACACTAGTATGTGACGGGTAACAGTTATTAACACTAGTATGTGATTGGTAACAGTAATTGACACTAGTATGTTATTGGTTACAGTTGTTGACACTCGTATGTGACGGGTAACAGTTGTTGACACTAGTATGTGATTGGTAACAGTTGTTAACACGAGTATGTGATTGGTAACAGTTGTTGACACTAGTATGTGATTGGTTACAGTTGTTGACACTTGTATGTGATTGGTTACAGTTGTTGACACTTGTATGTGATTGGTTACAGTTGTTGACACTTGTATGTGATTGGTTACAGTTGCTGACACTTTTTTTGTAATATGTAATATCAGAACTGATAATCAGTTCACTGATAATCAGAACTGATAATCAGAACTAAATCAGTATGTATACCTTTGTGAGTGTAATATCAATGATAATCAGAACTAAATCAGTATGTATACCTTTGTGAGTGTAATATCACTGATAATCAGAACTAAATCAGTATGTATACCATTGTGAGTGTAATATCAATGGTAATCAGAACTAAATCAGTATGTATACCTTTGTGAGTGTAATATCACTGATAATAAGAACTAAATCAGTATGTATACCTTTGTGAGGTTCATCAATTTTTGAACTGTTTCTTTTTATTTAGGGGGATAATGAAATGAAGTCGAAGTTAGATATTCGTGCGATATTTTAGTCCTCGTTTTGTATTATGTTCTTTGTTTAGTTTGCACTTGTATGCTTATAGTCACTCTCCTATAACATATATACATGTACAATGTATCATGATTGCTTTGTACCTATAAGTCTTAAGACTTTTGGTGAATAAAGAACTTGAACTTGAACTTGACGGTTAATTTTCTTCCTTGAGAATTATATCTTACGAAGTATGTAGGTGTTTTCTACACAAACATGGCTTCGCCACATCAGTGTGTTTTACACGGCTTTATAGGTGTTTGGTATCACCTTGTATAAACATTACCACTACGAGAGAACGATATGCTCTGATAAAGTCCTCACAGGTTTAATGACAGAAAATCGGTTTCTTTTCATTTGAGATTTGTGGTTTATTTTAAGCGATAAATTGCACAATTGAACTGCAATGGCTATCCTTTCAAATACTTATTGTATTGTCACTAATATGAATTTTATTTATTTGCGTATTTTAGGATTTCGAATTTGAACAGTGTACTTGAATTCTGCTGTAGCCAGGTTTAAGTAATGTCGGGAGATTGAGTGGCATGTGTAATCCATACTTCTAGTAAAGGTAAATTTCACATAGAATTTTCGAAGTTTTTATAAAACACATTTTCTTCGACGCCAGACCGATATAAAAAAAAAGTCGACAAAACGTCAGAATAATTCGGACTAGTTGATAGTATACCTCGATACGAATATGATAAAGATATGATTTCA